ACATTTCTCCTCATAGAGCCCAGCCTCCCGGATAATCTGTTCTGCATATAAGTTGAAAAGGTATGGAGATAGAATGCATCCCTAGGGTATGCCCTTCCCAATTTTGAACCATGCAGTGCTCCCTTGCTGTTCTGACGACTGCCTCCTGGTCCAAGTATAAGTTTCACATTAGAACGATCAAGTGACTTACTGCCCCTGAAATCCTGTTCAGCTATGAGTGACACACTAGTACAGTCCAAAGGCACTGTGGCAACACCAGGGGTAATTGTCTATACACACTGCCTTCTACACACATATGTGGGCTCTACAGGACAACACTTACACCCCCATTCTACCAGCCTACAGTAGTTGGAACTAATGGCCCTGGAATTTCGGTCAAGACACATCAAACATTAGAGGTAGCAATCTCATGTTTCAGGTAACTGCTGGTGTGATGCCTGAGGTTGAGGGAGAAAAGCTGGATGGAAGGTGGGGATAGCCCAGTGAACTAGGGTAGCCTCATGCATATTTCTAACCCTATCCTATATTTGACCTTGGGAAACAGAGAGCCAGGATTAAGGTAGCCTGAGACCTTCCCTCCCCCCCCCCTCCCCGACACCCCGTTGTCCCAGGAGCCAGGCCTGAAGCAGATGTAGAGGTGGCTGCTAAGACCCCAATCTTGAACGACCTAAGCAGGAATGTTTGCCAGAAAGATGGTGAGCCTTAACAGGGTTGTAAACCTCAATAGGAGCAGAGCAATAATAAGAACTGCACTGGTATGCTCACCACTGATCCTCACCGTCGGATCACCACCCCACCTAAGACTTCACTCAGTCCACTGAGATGTCTCCACTGTGAAACCATAGCATATACAACAAGGAGAGAGGATTAGATATCTAACTGACCAAATTAAGAGGAATCAGGCAGAACAAGAATGCTCACATTTAGAAATAGGAAGCCAGTCCCTGGGAAGGTGCTCCTTCACTTACAGGAAGGCCTCTAGTTCCAGTCAGTCCACACGTAACAGTGCACATATCCACCCTGTCAACCTTGGGACGTAAGACGAGTTACGGCGATGTACATTACTGGAAGGGCTACATACACATAGTGGCTTGAAATTGTTTCAGGCTTGAATTGCACTTCACACTTGTAACCTGGGCCCAGAGCATCTACACTTGCCTAGAAAACTTCATTACACTATCTGGGACCTCAAGTCCAAATGGTTCTGTCCAAGTTGGTGCCTTAGATCTTGCCTCAACCATTAGCATACTGTTCCTTTCTACTTCAGATTTCATAACTGATGTACTGCAGCTCTCCTTGTTCCCTGCTAAGCGATTACTGCCCATCACCCTAAAAGGCAGCTTTCTATAGTTTTATGGACTCTTCTACAGAGGATGAATAAGAGCACTTAAGGATGTGATGACTATGAAAGGGTATAATGGAGGGCTGTGGCAATGTGTTAGATGGGTTAAGTCCTTAACTACTTGCCAGAACACTGGTAGTTTGAACCACATCGGGATGCCTTGGAAGACAAGTATGGCAATCTGCTTCCAAAAACTTACAGGCCTGAAAATCCTATGAAGAAGTTCTACTCTGCACAAGGGTCTAAATCAACTAGACAGTAACTTATAACAAAACATTGAAAATAATGGTGGCTTCGGAGTTTGGGAGTTCGGAGTGAAGGTGCGTGATTAAGGAACAAGGAAGGTGTAACCACCTCAACACTCCCCCAGAAAATAAAAAGCACACTAAGTATATTTACTTTTTTTTTTAAAGTACACTTGGAAGGTGGCCCACCCAGTAAACTTTATCCACTTACTTTTTCTAAATAAAAAGGATGGTGCAACTGCCCTCATCTGTGGTTGGCAATGAGGATACTGTTGCTTAGGGTAGCCATTATCATCCTAGTAGAAAGTACAGGCCTTTCTTTCCCTGAATCCATAAAAGAGGTCCAACTGGGTAGGAAAGCAAGCAGCCACAGGTCAAATAAGTCAAAACCGGTACCGTCAGCGGACACAATTGTGCAAGAATAAATTAAATGCCACTGCCAGGCACATACATAAAGTGGGATGGCAAGAGGATTCACAGAGTTTTCTTGTTTAAGCCATCATCATGGACTCTTCCTCTGAATAACACAATGAAATGCCTGTCTGGATAGTCATTAGCAATCCAGTATGAAAAGGAAAGAAATAGGGCAGGGCCAGGAGCTTGGAGGAGTCACTCTGGCCCTCAGGAGTCCCTTGACGTCGATGGTCCATCTGTGCCAGCTGAAGGCTGTGGGGCACCAAAGATCTTGGCAAGAAGCCCTCGGTTAGAGCGAGCTTGGTCCTGGACAGTAGCCAGACGAGCCCTTTCGCGACCCCCTGGCCTGGCTGCCTTCCGAGCCCTCAGCTCCTGCTCTGTCGGGCGCTGGGCAAAGTTCCAAGAGCCATTAGGACGAGTAGGGTCTCCATCAGCAGCGAGGAAGCGTTTTCCACGTTCCACACTTTTAAGATAGAAGTCAGTCTCACGCTTGGCCTGGGCAACCTCGGCCCTCAGGCGCTGCCGACGTACCTGGCGCTCAAAAGCCAAGTGTTCGCTAAGATGGGACCAGGTGAAACGATGCAGGTACTGCGGACAGAGAAACAAGAGATCCGGTGAAGTGAACAGAAGAGGAAATTGTAATCCGGAACGGTCAACAAGGGTCCCAGGCGGGGAGGTGGGAAGGTGAAGGGTGCCACCAGAAGACTGTCAGCTTACCTTGAGGTTCCATAGGTCATATCGGAAAGGACTGCGCCGCCGGGCGCCCATGGGCGTGTTGTGCAAACTGGCCGCCACGCGCTTGGCCACACGCTTGTCCCGAAACTCCACCCAGCCCTCGGTGTAGTCCTTGCTGTACTTGGATTTCTTCTTTTCTCCAGCAGCCTTGGCTGCTGCCTTCTTCTTCTTCCGCCGCACAAATCCATCTGCGCTCCAAACAGACTCAAATAAGCCGATGCCTCCCATTTACTTGTTTTCCAAACTCGCCAGCGAGGGCCCATCTGTTAACACGTTGCCGCACATTTTTAAATTGACGACCGTGCTTAGAAACACATTTGCCGTCATTTAACTCAATCTTCTCTTCAACTGTCACCTCTTTAATCAGACCTGCCCTGAACACTATAAACTGCACACGCTCCTAACCCCAAGTTTCGTGGAAAAGTCACTGTGATTTACCCATTTAGCAAACTGGTTAATGGAGGTCCGGAAAGCACAGTAAGTGGAGGGAAGATTCTACCTGATGAACTACCAATCTGAGAATTAAAGCACAGATCGCAATCCCGCGAGATTCCCGCCACAAGAGACATGAGCAGTACAAGTTTACCACAAAACTGCCCCAAGACCCTCTTTCTATTCCGTACTTACCCTCCGGCTGGAAAAAAACTCGCCCGACCTCACCGTAGGCGCTGAGAAGGTTGCGTACGTGCAGGGGCCGAAAGCGCGGCGGGATGTGACCTAGGTAAACAATTCCAGGCACTATCCGTTTTTTGCCGCTGCCTTCTTCCTGTTCTTCTTCTGGCTCCTCCTGTTCTTCGTCTGGCTCTGGGTTTTGGTCTTCTCCTTCCAGGGTCTCGTGCTCCGTTACTCCCATCTCCGACTCTTCGGCCTCCATGCCGGCTATACGTGAAGCACGACAGCCGTAAACTGCCGCGTTTTCTGACGCGTGCTGAGGGTAACGTCTTGCAGTGAGAGGCGGGGTCAAGTAACACGATGACAAATGAAAAGACAAGATAGGCCGATGTAGGCGGATCCAATGGAAGGCGGAGTAGAGAACGTGAAGTCTTTCATCCGCCACAAGATTAAAAATGTGGAGGCGGTAGTATAGGTTACCGGCAGCTAAACGAACTTCCCTCTTAGACTGCGCTGGAAGGCCCAGAAAAATTTGCCCAACGCTTAGGTAGTTCTCCAGATTGTCAACTGAGACAGGCTTTTTCCGAGAATTTAGGATAACTTTGGACGGTCTAGCTTTCACAAATTTAGCTGGAAATAAGTGCAGCCAGAGTGCACTTTAGAAACACAGATAGTGAAACTTTGTCTCGCAACGCTTTGGGTATGTTTTCAGGAGATGCCAGTTCTTGGAAAAAGACATCTTGCTTGGGAAAGTAAAGAAAGGGTCTGTGACGGAGAGGAAGAATCTCAAAATAGATTGGCACAATGATTCCAAAAATGAGCTTATGCACAGCAAAGGTTGTGAGAGTAGGGCAAGATTTCCTTCTGTTGTGCACCTGATCGTTACAAGTGAGAACCAAGTTGACAGCACCCAACAACCACCACGATAAGGACACCTGGTGGTACAGTGGTTAAGATCTTTGCTAACCGGAAGTTCCAGTTGGCATTCACCTGCCGTTCTTGAAGAAAGAAGGAACTATAAACAACAAACCCACCGGTTGATCTACTTTTCCTGGAAAAGTGATTGTTGTTAGGTTACATGGAGTAAATTCTAATTCATAGTGACCCTATATATAACAGTCATGCACAACAGAACCAAATACTACCCAGTCCTGTACCATCTTCACAGTAATTATTTGAACCCATTTTTGCAGCCCACATCATCCATCTCATTGAAAGACTTTTTGCTCACCTACCAAGCATGACCTTCAGCGACTGGTCCCGCCTGATGTTGTTGTTGTTATTTGCCGTCGAGTCGCCTGTGACTCATAGCGACCCTATGTACAACAGCACTAAACTCCGCTCTGTCCTGTGCCAATCGCACTGTCTCTGACACTCCCATCCCAATTATCCCAGTCACTGAATCAATCCACCTCATAGAGGG